AAAATTGACTGTATTCTCTCGCTTACATCTTGATCACTTGAGCACCCAAATTTAACCCACAAGCTAGAAAAATGAATGAGTAAGAAACAGACATCTTTAGAAAATTTCTTGGTGAAGGTGAAAAGACCCAGTGAAGGACCCAGGAACTGCCAAGGAATGGATCCGCAACCCATTTGTCATCAAATCAGGTGAATTCAGCATGTATGTGCAAGAAAAGGATCAACTGCTGGAGATCGCAAATGACGGATGCCTTAGGGGCCATTCGTATGGTGTCTTTTCTAGAGTTTGCGCAAGTTTCTTATTTCCAATAGAGGCACACAGCTTAAATGACGAGAGCACACCGGGAGTCACGTGACAAGAACTGACGATCAGCTTTAGCTTGTATAGAGTATACACATTTCGGTAGACAAATTACCTCAGACAAACACACAACAGTATTATTTCCCTTTTTACAAGATGTAAAAAAAGTTTCTGATGTCCTAAGTCTAAGTAAGTTTCAACTCAAAACACTCTTTAAAGCCGCCCTTTTTAGGCTTTGATTCTAATTGTACCATTTTGCTGACTGTGACTATAAATTCAAGTGAGATTGTGCTCCTAGCTGTCTTTTCAAAGAGTGTAGAGCTACAAATGCCATAGTGTGTCAGCATAGTGGCATATTCAAAAACAAGACTAATGTTCTTTACCAAGGGTGTCAAACTCAATCCTTGGAGGGCCCAAGCCCTGCACAGTTTAGTTCCAACCCTGCTCCAACACACTTACCTGTAGGTTTCAAACAAGCCTGAAGGACTCAATTAGTTTGATCAGGTGCGTTTAATTAGGGTTGGAACTAAACTGTGCAGAGCTGCGGCCCTTTTGGAACTGAGTTTGACACCTGTGTTCTATACTAATAAGGGAGAGATTATCACTAATGGGGGTGGAGGGCGTACTAATGGGGGATAATAATTATCACTAATGGGGGATAACAAGTACAAAGGGAGAATGTCGAAGTGTTTCTGCTCTGTTTTTATGAACTGTGAATAAAATTAATACATTTTTACCATTAGAAGCTGTTTATATCCATAGACTGTTGCCACACATCTGTGTTAAAACCCCTTATAGAAGTAATTTTTGCTTAATACAGACACCCTAGTTTCCCAGAAATTTGCGGATAATTGTGTGAATATAAAATATATGTTTAAATGTAAAAAATTATATGTTTTTATCATATTAGGTATAGCCTTCTATGTTAGGTGTGCAATCTGACACTGACAATGACACAAATCATAAAAATAAAGCTTCTTTATTTTGGTCTCTTGTCAAGACAAGATGTAAAACGGTAGGGATTAAGCCAAAGAAAGTTTGCATAACTCTTATTTTTATCTACGATCTTACTTTCTCTCAGATTCACTTACTGAAGCATCTGACATCTTGTCACACATAGGAGATGCCTAGGGGCTTCCCCCTACCATAATACACTTAATAGACGAATTATCGTCAAACTCGTCAATGGCCGGGAATCGCTTTCTCTAGTTAATTGCAGGAAAAAAGTTAAACGAAAACATTTATCGATTTGACGCACATCATAATACCAGCCATACGGGTAAAGCACAAATAATGTCCTTCAATTCAGTCACGTCCAGCGGCCGTCACTCTTGAATCAATCTCATCACCACCTGTCTGTTCCATTGTTCTGTTTGCTCCAACTTTCTTTTGCAGTCTGAAGCGCATCAAACGCACAAAATGCCCAATTCGCACCACAAGATAACAAGTCTATTTCTCATCTTTGCTTTGACTTCACATGTTCATCACTCGTGCTTTATTTGCAGCTGCTTACTACACAAGCTGAAAACTCCCCCGCTTTCTAATTTGATTTTATGTTTTGGAATTTGATGTTTTATGAGATTAAATTTGCGACATTTTGTTGATTTTGCATTGAATTCAGCGATCACGGAATCGTGAAAAACTAGGGGGTTTATTAATAGTAAAAACCAACCACATCTGTAATATTTTTTATATCCACAAGCAGCCTATTCCATAGCAATAGCCCAGAATAATTATAAGACTGAAAATCCATACAACTTTGCCTAGTTTTATAACAATGTTGTTTGTTTACCCTTACTAAAAGTGCATTTAAATAAGAGGGTGCTTTATTAATAATACAATTATGAACTGTTTTAATTTTAATGTTGTTAGATGTACTTTCTGTGGGGAGCCAGTGAAGATTATTGAAACGGGAAACCTTAACAAGACAAATCAAACGTGGAGACGCATGCATTTTCAAAATGACATGAAAATATGCATGACGCAAATAACTTTAAGTTGTTTTATAAGAATAATAACATTTTTGTCAAGAAACATTTTTGACACATCCAAATTCTCTCCTATTGTAGATTTGACCAAAATGAATTGCATTTAATTCATATGGTGAAGACCACACAGTGTTGCTCTACATTATTGTACCGTACCTACATATAATTGAAAAAAACAAACAAACAAACAAACAAACATTTGAGACAGTTAAATTAAGCATTTGTTCTAATGTATTTATGCTTGTAATTTGTTAAAAAAAAATGTATGCAGTTGCACTCTCGAACAGTCTAAAATAATGAATAATCCTGAGTTATTCAAGTGAAAATTGATTTAGAGATATCATAAAACCAAAATAGTGCCTTTTAAAAAATGCCTTTTTAATATACTGTGCAGGTGTACTTTATAAAAACAGGCATTTTAGTCAAAAACTTCAATGGTCAAAACCACAATGGCATTTTATTTCCATTGTGATCAGACTGTTTACATGCCATGATCAAATAGTGATCAACAGTACAGTGGCCTTGCGACCTGCACAGGTGTGTGTGAACAGACTATCTTGACTTTGTGTTTGTTCATGAAATAGCAGTTTTTACTGTATCTACTGTGCCAATGAGGTTGCAATAATAATCCAATAAAATAATGTTTGCCTTTCGTGATTCAGAAATAAAAAGATATGAGCGTGTGCGTGATAAGTTTCATTCATCGCATGAGATCCAAAACAGCACATATTTCAGAGTGTTTCTCTGTTATAATGTTTTCATATTTAATTAATCCTTTCTGCGAGGATATTTAACCAGTTAAAATGTGATTTTTCAGGCTTTTTATTTTTAATAAATTTGCAAAAATTTAAATAAAATAAATTTTCACAATGCCATTATGGGGTATTATGTAGAACTTTAAGGAAACAAATTATATTTTATCCATTTTGGAATAAGGCTGCCACATTAAAAAAATGTGGAAAAAGTGAAGCGCTATAAATACTCTATGGATGCACTGTACATATTTGTAATTTTAATGGTTGCAAAAAAAAGCAGATTTTTGCAATATTTTGACATTTTTTATAAATGTGAAATCCTTATAACGCTCCGGTTACTAAAGTAACCCTCTTTCCCCGAGGAGGGGGGAAAATGCTATGTGGAAAAACTTCCACTATGGGGATTTCGTTCAAAATGCCAATCATCTGAAAGAGTATGTAAACAGGCCAATGAAATGCCAATGAGTTGGCAGCGTCAGCTTGCACAGCTGATTCTCATAGCAGTTAATTTGACAATATAAGCACAGTGAGAACAAGGCTGAGGTATCCTCGAAGGGGAACTTGTATGTCACATTTATGTAATTTGCATATATTTTCATATATCAGATTTTTTATTTTAAGATCTGGTCTTATGGATTTGGCCACAGGTTCTCCTCTGCATCACAGTGGTGTTTTCAGCCAAACATCTTGGAAAGAACCTTTGGTCAATGTGAATCCAGGCCTGACATTGGTCTGCTGTTATGCTGTGTTTGGACTTTCTTGCACACAGTAATGTCAAATATAAAAACATTGTCTGTAAATGTGTTACATAGAACCATAAATATGCAATAAGGATGAAATCTATAGATAATGTAGTCCTGTTGGGTAATTTTCTGTGGTAACTGATGTCATTTGATCTATCCTGAAATGTTCATCATCTAAACGTGTAAAATAATACATCAGTTTCCATACCCTGTAGCTATGCCTGAAGAGTATTTATTATGTTGAGCGCTTTGAAGTGGGATCGATTTTTTTTTTTATGTTTAATTGTATTATAATAAAGAGGTGATTTTAATTCAATGAACAAATTATCTGGTCACACTTTACAAAAAGGTTCATTAGTTAATGTTAATTAATGCATTTACTAACATGAACAAACAATGAACAATACATCTACTACTGTATATGTTAATGTTTGTTAACGTTAGCTAATGAAAATAGAGTTGTTCATTGTTAGTTCATGTTAACTCATGGTCCATTAACTAATGTTAACAAGGATGGACTTGGATGTTAATAATGCATTAGTAAATGTTCAATTATGATTAATAAATGCTGTACATGTGTTGTTCATGATTAGTTCATGTTAGTAAATGCATTAACTAATGAACCTTATTGTAAAGTGTTACCAATTATCTTTGACTAATGTGTATTGAATCCAAGCATTTAAATCAAAGAGTTAAGAGTTTTTGCAAAAATGTGCCATTTTGGCAATGGTTGTGAATTTTGTGTCTAGAGTTTTGAAAATTGACACCAAGGTGATAAAATATGTGGCAAAACAATTGAAAAAACTGTAAGTGTATACAGCTATTAAAAACTAAAGAGAGCACTTGAAAACCTGTAGTTTCTTTAGATTGACTGGGTATATTAGGAGTGAGTTTCCCTAAAATGTTAATATTTGTTTTGTTCTATAAAAGTGTGATAACTTTTGTTCAAGTTTTCAAAAGAGAGTATTGCCATTTTGATCTTTTTTCAGAGCACAACATTTTGTCAAATGTTTTGTGTGTGTGTGTGTGTGTGTGTGTGTGTGTGTGTGTGTGTGTGTGTGTGTGTGTGTGAGTCTGTGTGGAAGTACACATGCAGGTGTTTCCAACTCTGAAAGTGAAAGTGCAGTTAACAGTGATGCATGATGTACTGGATAAGGTCAAGTGAGTGTTATGAACAGTCTTAACATTGGCAAACAGAGTTCCTCATCACTCACCCTGCCACCCTTTAAGGGAAAACACGGGCACGGTCCACTGCAGTCCCGGCCTGCACACGGCTCCTGGAGTGTTGACCCCTGCAGACAAACACACACACAGAGAGACCAGATTAAATCCTGTAGGTCAGAGTCATACATCAATGAAAACTCAAGCACACTCTCATATGGCTGACACCCTAAAAAAACAGCATTAATATATTTCACAGAGATGACATCATGAAGAGCATCATCTGTTTCTTTTAAAAACAGCAATGAAATTTAATAAGCACCTTTTGCTTGTTTTGCATATTTGTGAATGTATGTAACAAAACAACAAGCCGTTGTATAGTTTGTGACACATTTGTTTCCCTAAGGGTGAGTGAAGATCACCTGGACAGCAGAAAGTGGTATTTGATCTTACAGAGAAACAACAGACGAAAATTGCTTTGTATTTTAGCCTTTGGTACAGCACGGCAATACATCTACCTCACAAACAAGAGGAAAAGACTGGAGGTCATTCCTTTCAAGATGGTAAGATACCCTATACATCCAATTGCTAAAGCTACTATAGAGCACATACAGTGATAGATGGGAGCTCTTTTGTGCCCTTTCTCCATGCTGAGATCACATTCCTGAGCATGCTTGTCCCACCCTTCCTAGTTGCATATCTCTTCATTGCTGCTTTTCTTCTTTCAGATTCCTGAACATACTTAATACTGTACATACAGTATTGTTAACTTGACCTGTCAGCAGTGGTGTTTTCAGCTTAGTGACGTTCAAAATTTTACAAGGGTTTAATCATAAAAATAATATATTTTTTAATAAATTAATTTATTAATATATTAAAATAAAACGTTTGATTTTTCTGTTTACTGCATTTCTAAGTTCAAGTACAAATTTCTTTCCATACTTAAGTATTTATTTTTTCTTTGTTTTTTTGTTTCCATTTATTAAAAAGAAAACTTGTAACTTGTTCTGATTTAAAATAACAACAATAATAAAAAAGAAAAGAAAATTACTCTAAGGCTAAATCACACATATCAGGATCTAGGTCATTATTAAATTCAAAATCATTTTGGGGCAATTTAAGCCAATTTCTTTGCTTGTGACTCACTCTAATATTAAAATGAAATATACATTAATACATTTTTAAATAAAATAGCTTAAAATGCAATATTTGATGTGCAGTCGAATTTTAAAATGCAGTTTTTTATTCCTGTGATGGTAAAGCTGATATATGGGTTCAGCCTCAAAATTGCACTGTGCACATCCGCAATAGTCAAATCGCAGGATCTGCAAAATTGAGATGGGAATGCCCATGTTTTTAACCGCTAAGAGCATTCAGACACCATATTTATTAGAAAATAATTGTATTGTACTTATTAAGTAAAGTTTTTCCAGTGTTTTTTTAGAGTTTAGCTTTTTAATTTTTTTATTTCTGTACCTGAATACGATTTGACTATACCCTGAAAACCATTAAGCACTGTTTATTTCACTCTTATATTAGCAAATTACATTGCATGCATGATTTGTTCCCCAACAAAATCATGCCAATCGATTGACAATTAATGCATTGTTTCCAAATATGACTGTTTAATTCATCTGGTGAAATTGTATCTATATCGCAATGTATATTGCAGAAAAAATATCGCAATATCAAAAATCCTTACTTTTTTCTGTTCTACACTGTTAAAAATGTTGAATCGAAAAATTTATCAAAAAGTAATTTCAACTTATATAAATTAAACTCACTTTAAACCAAGTTAAAATCTGTATAACTTAAAAAAATTATGTTGATACCTGATCAACCTGTTAAAATAAGTTCATGTAAATTAAACATACTTGTCATAAACATACAGTAAAGGCACGTGCACACCGTGGCAATTTTTGCTCGCGTTTTCCATGGAAGTTTAACATCTCGTGACTAAATAAAGTGCACTAATGTGATCGTGCACACCAATGCGCAAAATGCCAGGCGTAAAAGCGTAATTTTTAAAGAAACACCTCATGCTCGTTTTTTTTTTTTTTTTTTTTTGACACACTGCGTCAAAACCTTCTCTACCAATCAGATTTTCCCTTTTTTTTCACATGCACAAAGCTGCTGAAGTTACAGTAAATAGCAATTGGAGGCACTGATGCGCAAAACTGTCAAAGCGAGCGCACATTGAAGAAGATGCCCAGAGGCGATGAGAACGTGGAGCTGCTTATTGCACTGGTAAACAATAAGTAGCTGGAGCTGCTACTTGAACCATCCATGCATGTTCTAGTCGCTAATAACTTTAACAAGAAGCGTTAATTTCTCTCTTCTTCTTCTTTAAGCAGTTGTCAAAAGCTTAAAGTTGTGTAGCGCCATCTAACGTCAAGGAGTGATTTTGCATACTCTTTTGCTTGAATTCAGAGAAAATCGCTTCGGTTTAAATCCGGAAAAACGTCTCGTAAAATGCTGATGATAAACGCAAAGGAAAAGCGTACCGGTGTGTACGAGCCTTAAGTCATCATGACTTTGTGATCATCGTTTTTAACAACGTAAAATCTTATTCTTACTTCACAGCAATTGAGCTCTCAAAAATGCTGTTATTTTATCCCCATTAACAGGTATAATAGCTTAACCCAAAACTTGGATTTGACCACATACCACTGAATTCAAACATTAATAATAATATTACTTTCAAGCATACTGGCTGTTGATCGCTTGCGATGACAATGGATTTCTTATTGTTGCAAAACACTACATGTACTCATAACACAAACATCAGATTCTCCATTCACAACATGCTCTTTCTCATCCTGCAAGATAAGCTCTGTGAAATCCAATCCTCTTCATTCTGCAGATCTGTGAATAATGTGATCAATGAAAGCTGCACATACATATAAAGGTCTTTTAAGTGGCCTGGCCCTGCTGGAGTTCAGAGGTCACCGGATAGCATTTCACTTTGATTAAAGGATGACAAGAGGGGATGAAGACCCCATGAGGCTCCTGGACAGTGACTACTTGACTGAAGGGTCAGGGGTGCTCGGACGGCCGGTGAGTAAAAAAAAAAAACCTCAAAGGTCTTAAACTGATAACAAGACCTCATTTACTAGTCACAAGAGTGATGTGTGTGCGTGCTCGTTCGTAGGTTTTGTCCTGGTATTTATTACATTGTGGGGACCAAATGTCTCCAAGTATAAAAATATCAGTAATGTTTGACATTGTGGGCACATTGTTGACACATAAATGATCCAGAATGAACTGCAGAGATATAAGAAATATGTGCTAATTAACAGTTTCTGAATTGTAATTCACACGTGTTTTCTCTTTATTTACGGTTGTGAATTGCATTATGGGAGTTTGATCTCTGCTCTATTGACTTTTGATGTTTAAAATGTTGAGACTTCAAGTTTAACAAAATGACTTTGATTGATATTTTAGCTGTTTGAAATATTATAATGTATAAGAAATAATATATAAAAGTCTGTAAAATAACAGAAAATGTACTGGCAGTTTATTACAAGGTTTTGTCCCATAACACAGAACACCTATAATGTCCTATAATACACAAGAAACAGATACAGTTGAAGAGAGAATTAATAGCCCCCCTTTGATTTTTATTTGAATATTTCCCAATTTATATTTAACAAGGCAAGGAAACTTTCACAGTATGTCTGATAATTTTTTCTTCTGGAGAAAGTCTTATTTGTTTTGTTTCGGCTAGAACAAAAGCAGTTATTATTTTTTTAAACACCATTTTAGGGACAAAATTATTAGCCCCTTTAAGCTAATTTTTATTTCGATAGTCTACAGAACAAGCCATCGTTATACAATAACTTGCCTAATTACCTTAACCTGCCTAGTTAACCTAATTAACCTAGTTCTGCCTTTAAATGTCACTTTAAGCTGTATAGTAGTGTCTTGAAAAATATCTAGTCAAATATTATTTACTGTCATCATGGCAAAGATAAAATAAATCAGTTATTAGAGTTATTAAAACTATTATGTTTAGAAATGTGTTAAAAAATCTTCTCTCCGTTAATCAGAAATTAGGGAAAAAAATAAACGGGAGCTAATAATTCAGGGGGCTAATAATTACTGTATATCACTTTAAACTATTACAAATGTTCATGAAAGTCACTTTTTATAACTTTTCAAGGTTAAAAGTTGTTGGAAGAAAGATCAAGTTCCCATAATGCAAATAAAAAACATAAATAACTGGGGGAAACATTTAATAAAAACATGAAAAACAAAATATGGAAAATTGTTATTTTACTGATATTAATGATGATTATGAAGATTTTACAGTGTATCTACTAGTATATACTATCTATCTAGTATACCTCTACTGCATGCATTAAGATAGATCTATAATAAAATACTTGACTGTTGTTTTTTTTTCTTAACTTGAAGTGCTAAAAAAAGGGGAATTTTTTAAGGTATTTTATGATATGCTGCCATATGGCAACATCGTCCTACAGTGGATATAACTTAGAAATCTCAAATTTATAACCTTGCTGATGATTACTAATTGTGCTGTTTGAAATTAGTTAATAGGTGTTGCAGTATTATAAGCTTTAACACAGAACTTATAAATTACACCTTGAACATACTTTCCAACAACTGATATTCCAGCAGCTTTCATTTATTCTATTCTTTTTTGATGAATATTATTATTGAAAACAATCAATATTGTATTATCATGTATACAACATCCAGTAGGTATAAATATTTTCTTCAATAAATATTATAACAAATAAGTAACAAGTCTCATATATCCAGATGGATCAGAATAATGTAGCTAGTAGCTAACAATGTTTATATATTATACTACAGGTAAATACCACATGCCTGTCTTATATGCCTCTGAGCTAACTTGCCTGAACTGTTTCCATCATTGCTCTTATCAAATGTCCAATCTGCATCAATCTCATGGTCACTAAAACCCATCTCATCCTCATTTTCATCTGCAGGAAGAGCAAGTTCTGTCCTTTTCTTCTTTCACTTACCATAGAACACGGTGGTCCTCACTAAAACATTGTTCTCTGTATTCATATCTATTCAAAAGTAGCATTGCCAATAAAACTAGATTTTATCCATAGTGCGATTGCCATTAACATACAACTAA